CAGTGTGCACAGTCGTGCTCAAGTGTTGCTCAGTGGAATACTCCACGTTGTTTCCTAGGACTAGTGCAAAGCTTAGGAACAGTGAACTTTGTCCGACTTAGCATTTCAAAGCAACAAGCTTCTGACGTCCTTCTATACCTCGGGAGCAAGATGTATCCCTCCCTGTGACAGATGGATTTTCTTCATCCCACATGTGATGTAGATACAGACAAGTGGCTCCAAAATGTTAAAGAAAATCATGACACTGGCTTACAAATGTAGCCATTCCTCTGTGGATGCAGCATATTCTGGGGTAGAGGAGCTAGCTGTAATTTTTTGGGCTTGGTTATGTGCCTGCAGCAGTCAGGCCATTTGTGCTGTTGAGGAGCAACAGAGATGTTCCCTAGGTCATATCCTATAGTGAATATTGGTTTATACAGATGTGAATCATGAGCATCTCCTAGTGCTGCATAGCAAGGAGGTGAAAGAAGAGATCATCCAGGAGGGACCCCTGGGCTCTTGGCGAGTCACCAATAACTAATTTGCGGGTATAGCTTAGGAGCTGTTGTATGAAGCTTTTGGTGATCTTTGTGTGCTACATCTTGTATTTTGCACATTGGGAACTTTTAGTCAGGCCTTATTACCCAGAGTTACTTCTTCAGGTCTGCCACTTCTCCTGTAACTGTGTTTCTTCATTGGCTAGCCTAACCTCTCAAGACATCTTACACCAATACCAATCACAGCATGGTTGGAATACGTGTGTGATAGTGTCATCTGTCACTGATGAACAACAACAACAAGGAAATGAGCAATATTTCAAACTGGAGCAGAATGAGAACAGACAAAACAAGAAGGGATACTGTAAACCTATGAATCCCTAGTAGAGAGGTGGATATCCAAGCCAGAGATATTGGCACACATGTGCCAATACCATGTTCTGTTTGAAGATTACAGAATCACAGAATGGTTGAGGTTGGAAGGGACCTCTGGTGATCATCTGGTCCATAATCTTTTGGTGAGACCCAGGACACAACTTCCTCCTAGTCTGCTTAAGTCTTGGAGGGTTTCATTGCATTTGGTTGGATACAGATAATTTAATAAATGATACTTTCACTGTAATTCCACAAATACAGAGGTAATGCCTTTACAGCAATTTAAACTAATTTTTAAAGACCCTAAGTAACTTAGTAGTCCTAGCAGTTGAGAAAATGCCCTAAATTATGCTCAGTTTAGAAATTCAAAACTTGGAAATACTGCCTTGTCATTATGTTCAAGATGTTTTCTGTACTGCATTTCAGCTCAGAGTAAACTAGCAGTGGAAGAAGAAGAGTGGGAAGAAAAATGCAATAGAATTGGTAATAAAATGGCAAAACCCAGCCATGACAATAACATACATTAGCAAAAAGGACCTTGTCACCCACTTCCTTTTCCAACACCGCAGCACAGCCCCATCTCACATTCCGTCTCTGAGACACAGGTGCAAAGGAGATGGGTGGTTTGATGCAATTTATCCATGCAGCCAAGAAATAATGTTACCTTCCCTGAGGTACCGGCAAGTCCGGTCATGGCTTATGTGCTTGGCTTTCCTTAAGCCACAGCCTCCACTCGTGTTGGTACACGGTTTCCCAACACCAGCCTTGACTTGTCCTCCAGGTGGCAAGTTGCCCCATCACCTCTTCCCAAGCCTCAGCCACATGTCCAAACAGAGGGCAGTCCCCCAGCCTCACCCTCTGGTTGCCTCAGTTTTTCTTGGGAGACTTCTCCCAAGTATTTCCAGTGCTACACCATCCCAGCAGGATGTGCTTGCCCAGCCCTCAGCTGCGCAGGTACCTCTGTCTCAGCAAGTGGTGTCCCTCCTGGGGCACTCGTTTTGGTCGGAGCCAGCACAGGGGCTCCACTGAGCTGCAGCATTCAGTAATGGGAAAGGGCATATTTGGAAATAACTCATTTGAAGTACACTTGTAGAAAAAGTGTAAAGGAATAAAGCATTAATGATGAGAAGTCTGTAGCCCTTCTAAATACACGAGGTTATTCTTATACGAGGACTCTGTAACACTGTAAATTCCAGGGTTACAGGTGAGTAACTGAGGCTGAAATCTGATCCCTTGTGCCTGAAAAATTCCTTAATTGTTATTAGGATGGGAATAATACAAACCATTATTTTAAAATAATGCTGTCTGGGCTTGGGAAATTCACATTCAAATAGTAAGAAATGGTAATTTTAAGTTTACCAAGCAAAACGTAATCTTTCTGCACAAGTGCATATCTTATATTTAGTAAGGCAAGGTTCCTGGGGAAAATGACAAGTGTAATTAAAACCTGTCTCATCATGCATGCACACAGGGGAGGGCAAGCTGTGATTGTAATGGCAACTGCTCCTAGCAGGTGTTTTTCTTTTAATATGGGGTATTAAATTAAACTTCCTGTGTTTATTAACCCAAATACTCTCCTGCATGCTTCTAACAGTGCCTCTGTGATGTGTTGCAAACAAGGCTGAACTCGAGCAATATCTTTCAGCATAAACTTTCATCTTCAGAGATACAAAACTACCTACCTTAGCTGAGATTGTTACGGGGACTTGGAGCACTGCTAATGCTGCAAATTGTTTCACACTTTGTAGCTCTGGAGGTTTAGTTTTCTGTGCTGAAGATCTCTGGCTCATTACGGAGTGGTGGGGATCCTCCACAATTGGGGGGGGGGAGAGGAGGAAATCCTGCCAGAAGCACTGTCATCTGTTGTTTCCAATTTTGAGAGGATTAATGTGATCAACTACATTTTTAATAAAAAAGTCATAGAAGGGGAGGAGGCAGAGCTGAAGCTGGGCACTGTCTTTGGAGGTGGTTGGGGATAGTCAGAGCCTGGTGTGTCACTTCAGAAGGCCCAAAGGAGGGGGAAGCTTGGCTCCACTCTTCTCCCTACAACACTTGATAGTTCCCAGGCACCCCTAGTGCTGTGAGACTACGTGGGCATTTATGACTTTTATTTCAAGGTTATTTGTTATTTGCTGCAGAAGTCTCCCAAGGAATGTCGACAAGAGGTGGCAAATGGTGATTAGTTTAGACAACCTAAGTACAGGACTCACGATGGGCTCCCCATGTAATACAAGAAAGTTAACAGCTTGGTGATGTCCTTTTGTGAGTGAATTGTGTAGCCTGGTTGTTTAATGGAGTGTTTAAAAATTGTGTTGGCAATAGCCTATGAATAATGTATACAGGAATAATGAAATACCTTACTGCTAAGAAACTGCTGATATGCTGGGGAACTTTCCATCAGCTGTGAGAACAATTTTGAAAGTACTGTCTTCTTGGGATGCCCTTTATTTATGGTCTTGCTGCTTCAGAGATTGCATTCCCTTTTTAGAGACTGCATGTGAAGATGCCCTCCACCGCCTCTGCCTCTGTCTTCCAGCTTTACTTGATTCCCTTTGCTTCTGTCTGTAAAAGCTCCTGAATTTTGATGAGATTAGGCTTTATTAAATGAGCATCGTTAAGCATGGAAATACTTGCTGTGCAGCCTTCAGCCATTCTAGTTATCTGCAAGGCACATTGCATCAAAGGAAGATGGTTTTGTGTCATGGCAATGTCCCATGATGCAGGAAGCAGAAATAGGGCCAAATGATTTGGAAAAAAAGACCAATGATTCTTTTGCATGTTTTTGGAGCATGGGGTTCTTGCATGAGATAAACAACCTTAGAGTGTCACAAGTGGATGTTCAGATTTTCATGGACTTTGCAGCGTGAACCCAGCTCTGATGCCTCTAAATTTTCCTCCACGTCCTTCTGCAGTGCATGAGGCCTCTGAGTGCTTTGGCCATGAATAGCGGGAAGTCGTCATGATACTAAGCAACTAAATTTTGCTTGATCAAAGAGATTAGAAGATTGAGATTGAACCCCTGCTTGCAGGGGAGCTCTGGAGGTTGCACTGCCTTAGCTGCAGGAGGAAACAGGCCTCCTAAAAGACTCCAGGACATAGCTCATCAACAGTGCAGGCACGAGGCAATCGTGGTCTCTTCCTTTGCTCCTTGTTTTGGCCCTCGGCTGCACTCCAGGAGAAAATAAAATTGTACCTCTGTTTTTCATGCAGGGTTTTCCCCACATGCACTAAAATGCAGAAATATCACAGGAGGGCAGGTGAACACAGTATGTATCTTACCACTCTCCAGAGTGGTCTCAGCTAAGTGTATGGTTAAGACCAGACCCAGCTTGTGGAGTGGGTAGCTATATGCACCCTGCCTCTGCTGTGACTTTGTTACGAGTAGCCTCGTGCTCATGCTGCATATTTGTGTCTGGATTTACACAACAGAGCCCTGAGTCAAAATATTTCCCACAATATGGGCAGGATATTATTAGTGTAATGCTAGAACAAAGCAACATGTGATTGATGTTGATATTAGTCAGCTGAGGAAGTGACAGCCTCACCTGGGAGGTTGATGTGATGGGTTTTGAAGTCATGTTGGTGATGCCAACAGCAAGCTCCAGGCATGAAGCTACAGAGCAGGAGAGAGAATGGGTTAGAAGAGAGATTGTATCCTCAGGGTGATGTGCAGCTGGCTAAGCAAGAGGATTCACCAAAACAGGAGGGAAGATTTGCACTTTTATTAGCTTGTTTGCTGCTGGGATATTCCTGGGGAGTGCAGTATTTTCGCAGCTACAGGAAAGGAGGTGTATAAAAGGGGTTAACCACAAGATAGGTGGCAAGGACCACCAGAGGAGTTTGACTGATGGCCTAAATGTTTTCAGCAGAACAAATAAAGAGAAAAGGTACATAAAACTTCCTCCATCTCCACCACCCAAAACCCATCGTGACAGCCAAGAAGTGTTTTTAGCAGAGAGGGTCACAAGGGTCTAAGCTGAGGATCGTGGTCAAGTTCAACCAGCCTTTCTCAGGGTAGGAATGCTGCTAGTTGACAGTATACATGAAGGAGCAGCTTGCAAAAGGAAGGAGACCGTTGTTATGCAGTTTATTCCACTGATGCTTCTGATGATCCTATTAATCTCTTTTTTTAATGTTTGTTTCTTTTAGGTGAAGAGTGAAGGCCCCAAACTGGTGCCCTTCTTTAAAGCCACTTGTGTCTATTTTGTCCTCTGGCTGCCAACTTCCAGCCCCTCCTGGTTCAGTGCCCTCATCAAATGTCTGCCCATCTTCTGCCTATGGGTTTTCCTTCTGGCTCATGGAATTAACTTCTTAGTGTCACACCGGAGTGCCAGCCGCATCCTAGCGGGACTCATATTCTCGGCAGTGGGAGATGCCTTTCTCATCTGGCAGGAGCAGGGCTACTTCATTCATGGTGAGTGCGGTGTCAGTCCTAAAGGGATGCCACAGTGTCCAGCTCTTACCCTCTTGATTTAGTAAGGAGTTGCTGGGCCACGTGTTTTCTTTATTCATGTACAGCTTAAGCCCCAGGCAGTGGGAAGCATTTATCCCTTGACTAAAATCCATCATGGTTAGAGGAGTCACACCATGAATGAGTCTTTCTCTTGAGCTTCTCTTGAGGTCAGAGAGGTAATTAGGGCAGGTTTAGTTCCCCGGCACATGCTCACAGCATCTCAGCTGGCTGGAGCTGGGAAGGTGGCATGGGCAGAATCCCTGGGGAAGAGAAGGAAGTGCACGTGGCACTTGGCGGCTCCCATGTAGCTATGGGAAGTAGCTACCTTTCATTTCTCTGCCAGGAGATTTGTCAGCCCTTTGCTACAAGGATCAGAAATAGGACACATGGTGCAAAGGTCCTCAGTGGAGAACAGGTGGAGAGGACTCTTATGTTTTGATAGACAAGCCTGTAGCCTGGGGGAGGTGTTTAAGTGGATGCTAGAAACCAAAGCATCAGAAATCTTGTCCTGCTTGCAGGTTCATCAGTATGAATCATGCAGCCTGTTGTACAAGACATGTCTGTTTTGCAAGACATGTAAATGATGGGGAATGAAGGACAAACCTTACCACAATGGTCTGTCTTCTCTACAGAAAGATCCACATCTCTCAGAGCAAAACAAGCTTGTTTTATTTTGCTAGTTTGCAGACTAGAACATAATGATTTAGATTAATCATTTAAAGCCATGTTGAACCTGCCTGTGGCAACACTCTCCCTGGCCTTGGACTGTCACAAGAAATCAGCAGCAGCAGAGTCCTTCACCAGACTGACTGGTGGGGTTTCTGAAGTTAATTTAACCAGCACAGGGATCTCATGTAACACCCACCATTAACTGGCTGCTGTGACTGTCCCACTGGAAAATGTGATGAGACGAGGGAACTTTTCTGACTTGTGCTGTTGTCAGCTCTGAAAGGCAAAGGCTTATTTCCCCCCCCCTTTCATGAGGTCAGTATTTAGTTTTATTCTGGGATTCCCACAAGCTCTTTCTTTATGAGAGGGAAGTATGTGAAAGGCCAGATATGAAAGGCCAAATGTTCTGAATCTGGTTTTAATTCTGTTTCCCAAGGGCTTATCCCAAGCTCATTAAAAGTTCATGTAAACATTTTTACTGATTTTGATGGAGTTTAGACTAGGCCCTGAGGAATTGATCTATCTGGCTGAACCTTGGGCATGTTGCTGAGGAGCTCCAGCCTTCTCTTGGGGTGCCATCCCCTCTGTGCTGAGTGTTGGTATTCTCACCGATGGGCCTCCTCCTAACATGAGTACCCAGCTCAGCACAGGCTCAGCCCGGCTGCTTGTGCTTTGCTTTTGCCTCCTGGAGTTGGTCCTTGAGCTGTGGCTTGGAAAACATTCAAGGCCCGATTCTCACCATGACTGTTTTTTGTACGTGGACTGTTCTGAGCTTCTCCATTCCCACATAGCTGGGATATCTCTGAGTTCCCTCTCCAGTTTAGTGCTAGAGGAAGGTCAACCAGTCATGACAATTCAGTATCTGGTTAATGTGTTTTAAGTTGCAAATAAGTTGGATTTTTGACCCTAGTCTCACAACTGAAAAGTGTTGCTTTGTGGGTTTAGACACATTTTTCTTCTTAAGCAGAAGAAAAGTTGTCTTGGAGCATTTTGAAAATCTCAGCCTTCATCCTGGCTGTCTCTTGCCTGCCTCAGTCCGTGCTAATCCAAGCTACCATCTTCCATAGTGAAGTGTTAACAATTGTGTTTCAGCTGTTAGCAGATAAAGTGTACCCACCCCACTTCATCCTTCATCTCTCCTGCAAAGCGTATTTTCTCCTGTTTAAAACTCAGCAGGCTGCTGTTGCTGACAACTGACAATATTCAACCTTTTGACATCATTGTTTGTGGGAATTTGAAATTTCAGGAGAATAAGAGGAAATACTAGATAAAAATATATTTTCTGTTCAATTTCTATGGCTTTCAGGCTGAAAAAAAGGGTTGGGAACTGGGCTGATTTGAATAGCTTTTGAGACAATGAGTTTATAAAAGGATATTTGTTCATTACTTTATAGGGAAGTGAGAGCCTGGGAACCTGCTCCTGGCACGCTTGACTTTTTTTTTTCATTTTTGCTGTTTCAGTCCACTATTAATACGCTATTTTCTGACTAGTGTCTTACTGCATGTAGATGATACTTTATGGTGTCAACATTCACCTCCTTTGATAGCATGCAATTGGAAACAATGTATGCATTTGGTGGACAAGACAGGCACTAACAGAAAGGCCTTATTGCCAGCCTGAGGGGAAACTCCCAGGGCAGGGGGAGGGAAGGGAAGGAAGCGGACAGAGAGGATAAGGGCTGATCTGCCTGCTGTGGTTTGCAGGGCTGAGCCAAAGGCTGAGAAACGCAAGAGAAACGCACCCCCTCCCTGTGCGGCCATCACAGGTTTCCCCAGTTCCTGGCTTGATTTGTGGGTGTTGAATGAGCAAACCTGGGAGCTGACTTGTTTGTGACCAGCCTCACCACATATCACAAAACTCCTCCTGCCTTTCTGGGCTTCTGGTTGGCTGCCACGTCCTGTCCTCCTCTCCTCCACCTCCTTGTTGCCAGCTGCCTGCATGAAGGACAACACATTCTTCAGTTCCCGGTCCCAGAACTCTTCATATAATGCCACTGAAGGAAAAACCACTCATCACTGCTAGGGCAAAGTAACCACCCTCTCCTGCCGCCCGCGGGGCTCTAACCTTTCCTGTAGTCTAACACTGTAAGCAGCTCTTGTCCTAAATCCCTCCTCGGTTTCCTCAGTGCTGTGCCCATGATGTGTGATAGCTCTGTGAAACCTCAAACCTCTCGTTGCCCTCCTTTGCACTTCTTGTCCTTCCCCTTCATACTGCCCACTTTCTCCAGCCTCACCTTGCAGACCAGATCCCCACTAGCGCCCTCCCTCCTGTGGGTTCCTCTCTTATCCCACCATGGCTGAACTTTCAGTGGATGTCTGATCTGGTCCTCCTCAAAGGCATGGAGACACTTCCCCTTCTTTGAGCTCCCTCAACACAAGAGTATTAGGATGAAGAAATGTTTGCCAGCTGCAGGTTTTAGTGACTGGCCTTTACACCACAGCATCATGCTTTAAACAAGTGTCCTGTTGGAGCACTTGGCTTCCCAGATCTTTTTCTCCATTTCATGCTTTAGAGCTGCATGAAAACTTCCAGCCACCCTAATAACCCTGCCAGGATAAAGTGGGACAGCCTGCAGCTGCACCATGTGTGGGTCTGGGAAGCAGAGGACCAGAGGAGCTGGACTCAGTTTGGGGCCCGTTATCTACAGCTGGCACAACAACTAGTAGTCAGCAGCTGTACCAACACATTGTGACATTTTTTTGTCAGATGGATTAGTGGCAAGTGAATAACGTATGGGCAGTACCTTCCAACACCCACATCTGGCATTTCTCAGGAGCGTTGCACTTCAAAGGGAAGCCAGCATTTTATTTCCACTGATTGATTCCAGCTAAGGTTCATCTGAATCTTGCAAATAGCCATAAAATTGTTGGCAGATCGCATTGGTGCAGTCGCTGAAATATGCCAGCTGCTCCCTTCCAGCTTAGGTCTCTCCTAGCGATGGGCAGAGATGGAGTAGAAGCCAGATTTAGTCCTCGAGTGCCTTTGGGTTTCTGGCTAAATACGGTCAGGCTCTGTGTCTGGGTTTGGAGGGATTGGTCTCTTTTTTTTCACATTTTGTTCCTACACTGCTCCAATTCCAGTCTTCCTGTTCCATGTGTGAGCTATGAGCAAAACACTTTGGAAAGTTAGAGGGGATGATCTTTGGTCTGCCTTGCCCCCACCCTTCCGTCCAAAGCAGGGGAGGAGGAACCACCTGGTAAACAAGCTTTGTTCCTTCTGCAGCAGCTCAGTTCACCTGGCCTCTCAGCAAAAAGGCTTGCATCACAACAGAGTGTGTTGGCTGCAGTTGTAGATGTGCTGGGGCTTTTTCTTAGGGCAAGAGTTTGGCGGGTGCTAAGGCTGTCTCCTGTGCACAGATGTTTATATTAAGATGGTCCCCTGTATGGTTCCCACTGAAAGTGTTAAGGGTTGTAACACTGCAAGGACATCTGAGCCTGTGCTTGTTGTGGTATATTTAAAACCCAATATAGCCACATGTTTTCTTCTGCTACCACCTGCCAGTCACTGATGAAAGATCACACTTGCTATGCCAATGTCTCTTTCCAGGTCTGCTGATGTTTGCCATCACACACATCCTGTACTCTTCAGCCTTCGGCATGAAGCCTTTGGACCTCAAAGCCGGCTTGTTGATGGGCCTCGTTTCCAGTTCCTGTTATGCCTTCCTGTACTCCTACCTCTCAGGCCCATTCACCTACCTGGTAGCTGTCTACATCGCCTTGATTGGCTTCATGGGCTGGCGAGCAGTTGCCGGTATGCAGCTGTGCAACGACCTCTGGACATGGACCAAGCTCTCGGCCTGCATCGGCGCGATGCTGTTCATGGTGTCAGATCTGACCATTGCACTTAACAAGTTCTGCTTTCCTGTGCCCTACTCGCGCTTCATCATCATGGCTACCTACTATGCAGCCCAAATGCTTATTGCACTGTCAGCTGTAGAGACCAGAGATGAAGAGGACTTCAGAAAGAGGAGCTAGGTGGAGTGCCAATAGTCTGTGAACAACATGGGTTATATCTCAGGTGCTGTAGCTGCATTCACCCCTGAGAGAGATCTCCATTTCTCTAGGCACATTGGTGATGTTGATTTTGCTTCTTTGAAGCATTACCTTTGGGGCTTTTTTTTTCAATGGCTTTCTCTGAATACAGCTTACTTCAGTGTGGAGTCCACATCAGAAAGCTTAGACTGTCCCTGCAGTAGCTACTCATTCAACTTTTCCTCCTTGGAAGTGCTGTACTACTGCATTTTACTTGTTAGTCTTGAAACTGATGCTGAATGTCTGGGAAGAGGAGGGCTGATGCAAAGGAGGTTTGGCCATGCACTGTGCTAGAAGACTTGCTTTCAATAGTAGGCAGACAAGCAAAGATCTCTGCTAAAGTCATAGGTAAAAATTAATTTAACTGGTATTTGTCTCTTTTTGTGCATTACAAACTCAGTACACAAACTGGAGCTATTCCTTCTGCTGAAAGGAAGCCTGGAGGTAGAGTGAAACCAGCATATCCAGATGAGGGCTGATCTTTGGAGTCAACGACAGCACATAGGGCAGCCCCCAGCAGACCCAGAATGAAAGCAAAACACCAAGCAGAGAGCATAGAGTGAGAGGTGCGCTGACATGGCAGTGCTGTGCGTGTTGATCGCAGCTGATCCACTGCTCCAGGGCAGGTCTGTAGGTGCCTGTCAGCATCGCGGCGTATGGCAGGACTGGGAGTTTGGTGGGATTTCAGGGACGTCTAGGTAGCCGGGTCAGTGTTTTCTCCCCCGCCATGCGCGTGCAGTTACATGGTGTCTGCAGCCACCAGTGACAACTAAGATGTAATGGGCACATGAAGACCTTTGATTTTTACAGCAGGACTTTGAGCATGTGTCTGTCTTACCATTATATATCCTAATTGTCCTTAGTATGGCAGACAGGAATCTAACCTTTATGCCTTTCTTCCCCAGTATCCTAACGAATAATATTGCATATACTCATTGAGCTTTACAGTACTGCTGCTTGCAGTATATCTCAAATCATCGTGTGAGCATTTCCCATGGTCAAGGCCCTGATTTTGGATATAGATCGTTGTTGTGTTTTGCTAGCTGGTGGTTAATGATCAGCTTTGCACCGCTTGTTTTTGGAAAGCCCCTTTTCAGCAGAGCTTCCTGAAAAGCACCGTCCTGCGTGCTCAAAGTGCCTGCTGCTTCCTTCTCAAACTCACATGGATGCAGCGAGAATGTGAGAGCCATCGGGGCCGGGAAAGCCTATTTAATTCTGATCCAAATTCTTTGGTTGGTTTGTCTGCCAGTCTGATGAAGCAAGATTACTTCTGACTTCAGACTCTCTTAAAAAGATGTAGGAAGAGGTTGTCTTGATTTTTAATCCAAGTTCATTTGTGACCATATGTATATTTTTCCCTCTTATTTAGGATATCTAACAGCAAGCTCTGTTTCTGTTTGAAACTCTCTCGAATGTGCTTTTTCTGTCTGTCCATCCTGGGGCTGCTCCCATGGGCTGAGATGCTCCCCCAATGGCTTAAGACACGAGTGCACTCTGGTGTGCAAAGGAAGCTTGCTCAGGGTTTCTGCACCTCTTCAAACATGCAGCCAAACAGGGACAACCAAAACAGACTGCACGACTCAAATCCATGCGTGCCCCAACAGCACCTCACAGACGCTGACACAGGCAGAGCGAACAGGAGGGGCAGCCCTCCAGACCAGCCTTGTAGGCTGAAAATCACCACAGTCTCCATACGTAGCGTGCCCAGACCATTCCAGCAGAAAGCCTGGCACCAACTCCCTGGCACAGTTGGCAGGGAAGGAATGCCTCTCTGCGAGGAGTGTGGCAGGGTCAGGGGGGCAGCTGAGGCAAGCCTACCAACCCTGCGAGCTTTTCCCTTGGTGTTGAGAGGTGCTAAGTGGGTCTCCTCCTCCCCAGCCTTGTGCAGTGGGACCGGGTGCGGAATAGTAGGCATTGCGTCCCCGCGACTTCTGTATTAGTGCAAATGCAGCCAGTATTACAAAAATCTAGGTTAACCATCCTGACCCCGTGGAGTCATCTGCTGCTTTTCAGACAGAGATCAGAAAGGTCAGCTGCATTATTGAGAAGGGAAAGCGTTGTAAATAGCACAGCTCTGTGTAATCTCTTCCCTTTAATGCTGTTGTGTAATATTGTCAGTATTCATTCACTGGCACACCGTGGCCTGTCTGGAGTAAACTGCTAAGGGAATTTACAGCCATAAAACATCTTCATTCATCAGCACTGCTTATCTCCTGGCCACAGCTTGAACCCTGCAGTGTAGCTCTCTGTGGATGTCACCTGCTGCTACTCAGCTTGACTGTTTGCAAATCTCTTCCTGCAACAGACTGACCCAGCTAAGAGGAAATCCAAGCATTTGGGGTGAACCCCACTGTCCTCCCAGCATGTCAGCAAACAGCACATTTCAGTCTGATTTAGAGCTATTTGTCATGAGTCAGTCCAGCATGCTCAGTCCTTAGCTGGCAGTTCTTCAGAGGAGCCCCCTGCACCCTGAGCTTCCCTTTGCTTTGAGGAAAGTAACCTTTATTTAAAAGTTAGAATTTTGATTATCTCCTTCTTCCACTCTAGAAATGAGTAGTCTTCTATTTCCTGAAGATGGCTGAGTTGCTTTTTTGCGTGCTTTTTCATCGTGGCTTGCTTTGTTATCCTGCTCCACCATCAGCCACTGGATATTTGCAGAAAAGGATCTTTTAAGTGTTAGTAGGAGGCCTGCCCTCTCCTCTGCACCGGCTATCAGAGGCACAGTTTCTGGTGGCAGAGGTCTCTGGGTGGCTCTAGCTGGGACAGCAGTCACATGTGCAGCCCAAGTGGGCTGTTGGTCCCTCGCTGGGAGCGGGCTGGCTGGGACACATCCTGGCCACCCTTGCTGGCTCCATCTCAGAGCTCCAACGGCTTCAGCCTTCCCAGGAACATGGGACAGAACCGTCAGCATACAAAGTCAGGGAGAGTCCTGGCTGGCTCGAGTGTTTGCCGGCAAAGGCTCTTAATCTTCAAAATCTCTCTCCTCCTCTGCATTCTTCCTTTTAATCCGTATTACTTGAATAAGACCATTTTCCTGAAGGCTCTTTCCAGCTGGGAAGAGACCAGCTGCTGTGGACACCAATTTCACACGATTCTGAGTTTCATAAACCCCAAGAAACACTAAGCGGTTGCTGACTGACAGTCTGTTAAATACCTTTGCTTGGGATTAAAACTGTTCCTTCAATCCTAGCGATGGCAATCTTCACTTTGAGAGGTAGCAAACAAGAAGTGGGAACGATGTGACTTGTCTGTGGCACTGCCTTTGTGGACCTTCCTGTTGTCTCTTTGCACTGTAAAACCACGAGGTTTGATCCATTTTTCTCCTTTTCAGGGGTACAGTCTTTGGCCCGGGGATGTTACAGAGGGAACGAAGCACTCTAGCAGTGGAGTGTGCCTGGCCCCAGAGTATCAGCTCCTTTGCTTGCTAAGTACAGAGGCTTTCTTTTCACACTGCTGTATTCTAACACCCCGCTGCACTTCCCATCTATGGTCACTTGAGGTTACACACATGGTCCAGTTACTTTTGCTCTCTTTCCTTTCTGTAGTTATCACCCTCTTGGAGATCCTTTGGCTCCTTATTTGGACGTGCAAAAGATGTAGCACATTTATTTCAGCCTTGTATTTCTTTCTGTAGGTGGATCCTCCTCACCCAGAACTCCCCATGAAGTCAAAGCAGCAATGCTAATTGCAACTGGTTTTTAAATGCTAGCAATTCTTCTGGGGTGTGCCAGTCACACTGATGTCAGCAGGGTGAAGCTGGTGTAGAAATGGTGGGTTGAGAACAACAAAGCCAGAAGGTTTTAACAGCTTTACTCCTACGCTACCAAGAAAATTGTATTCATGCTTAATACCTGGCTTCTTACTCCTCCATACTGAGGCAACAGTAAGACTGATTGGTTTAAGAATTACTCTAACACGGCTTTTAGGTAGATTGCTGAAGGTTTCATGTTGTAATCAGTGGAGATAATTATATATTTTTACACAAGTATATGAAATTCCCGGGACAAACTTTGCAGAATTTTGAAGTGGCTCTTCAAAGTTTTCTGGTCATGTAGTTTGACATACCTGTATGTTTTCAGCTTGGTATCATGGTAATTTTGGGAGCTGTTCTGGAAGAAGCAGATCAAAGCAAACAGCAACTGTAAAGCTCAGTGGCAGTGCCTCTTTCTCTTTGCTTGGTTTCTGGATATAGACAGGGGCTCTTTTAAGCATAGGCATCATAACTGTGTTCTTGGAAGATGATGGGAAGTTGCTGACCTCTCATGACAGAAGTCCTCCTGGGTACTTTTCCTGCCTTTTATCCATGCTTGCTCCTTTTGTGGCCTTGGATAAGTAAGTCACTTACTTAAGTTTTCTGGGGCTGGGTCCTCATCTGGTGTAAAAAGGCACAGTTGTATGAGGACCCGTGCTATGCCAAGGTACAACAGCAGGGGACCAGGCCCTCACCCCATTTCTAAAATGGGGATATTAGCACTTACCTACCTCACAAGGATGCTGTGAGGATTAATGCTCATACAGCACTTTGAAGATGTAAAGTGCTATATAAATCCCAAGTATTATCCTACCTTAGTGTTAAAAATGTTTTTAGGGATCTGCAGGACTTCTCTTAAAGCATGGAATATGTGACTGCCTTTTCAATTTGCATCAGATGGAAAGCAAATGCAAAATATTTATTCATACTAGTTAATAGGATGGGCTTGGCTGTACCTGAACTCTGAGGAGGGTTTAGTTTAAAAGTCGGAACTCTAATTTCAGTTTTGCAAATGGTTTTTAGTTCTTCTAAAAGCCTCCACCAAATTCTTAGATGTGAACTTTGCATCCAAATTCTGCAAGCTAACAGTCTTATCCCTGACTGTTAGCTAGAATAAATCTAATCCAGCCAAAACACAGTGCTCTCACAGTCTGCTATGGCTGCTGAAAAGACTGGAACAGAAAAGGAAGTTACTCTGTTCAACCTTCTTCATTCTGCAGAACGTCAGCTAGGTTTCATGGGACAACTTGCAAAGGGATGTTTAATTTCTGTGATTGTAAGTTTTACTGGCTTTAAAATCAGCAGAGAGGGAAGGCCTTGATGGAATCAATAAGGTCGGCACATACTTCTTGAATTACTTCCTTTTCACTGCATCAAAGACATAGCAGGTTCTGTAGCGAAGGAAGTGCTTGTACCACCAGTCCTAAGGTCCAGAAAAAAAGTTGATCTAGAAATACAGCTCTAAACCATCACCATGTTCTGAACTAGTGTAAAAATGTCACTGTTCACCGATTTCAAATCTGGACCACAGCTAGAAACTACTTAGTTCTCTGGTAGCACTACCTGCTCTACAAACGTAAATGAAGGCGAGGAATTACACACCAAGGAACGTGAGCTGTGTACATGTGAAATGGACCATAATTATGAAGCAGCTGCAGTAAAATCTTATCTTAATATGAACTCAGAAGCAAACACAATGCAAATTTTTATGGTTTCTTTAAAATATTTGATGGGTTTTAGTTTTCTTAGTTTGGAGGAAATTTTCTTAATGTTATATTACTTTTGCTCTTATTGTAAAGAATAAAAATATACAACTCTAGATAGACTACAAATGAAAAAAAGGTGGCCAGTTGGCAGG